GGATTTACACGAAAAACTACCAAAAATACGATTATAATCTACTTTAATCCTTTGAGATGTGTATGCATTATTAGATCGTAACTATTTTCCTAGTGATGGGATCTAGCTATCCTGTCTATCGCCATAAATCCTAAATTAGGTTTTTTTTCCTAGAGATACCACTTTCAACTGCATGTTTATAAACAGCACTTTACAAAATAAAACACGAGCGCTTCAACTTACAGAACGTATTTAACGTTAGAATTTCCTTCCTGTCCAATAAAAACGGTGGTCGCGAGTATCGTATCTCGAAGGAAACCAGGCAGGTCGTAATAAGTCTGAGAAATAAAATAATTCCCAAGTGAAATACACACACTAATGTGACTAATATTATAATATCTTGCGCCCAACATATCTGCTCTAGCAACGCTGGTAGATTTAGGTACAGGCTGGAGCATGTAATACCTTATGAAGTCAAGAGGTAATATATTTTGTTGAGATTTAATTTCACTCGTTTTAATATATACACATTAGTCGTTTACTTACAAGAATCCAGTATGAATTAAATGTTATTAATATTAATCTAGTAGACCGATACGACAGCAGACGTATCCGTTGAGTCATGGGTACTTGGGTCTGCAGAAACCAAGTAGAGTGTAATGTTTGTAAAGTAACATCCTGTAATAGTTGTGGACACAAGCTATTTTTTTTAAATATCTTACAGAATGCTCGAAATGTTTTTCTATTGCAAATATTATATATTTGTATTAAATATTATATATTACTCCAAAATTCATAGTGGATTATCAGTATTACTAATCAAAATTAATTAATTATAGATAATGCATAATTTTTTTTTGAAACAGAGTTTAGCACGATAAATATTCAGTAAGATTGTGAATATCTGCCAAAGTATCATTAATTGTTCTTATATTAATGTAATAAATTAATTTTACGCTGAATGTTTTTATAATATTTTTGTAAAACCAATAATAACTATAAGTTAGAAGGGCTTCTTTGCGGTCTAGTCCGTCTTTGTGGGGAACAACCCTAGTATTTATTTCTGTAGGTTAGTAGTTGTAACGCAAGATATAAACGAGTTATGAAAAATGCCTTCGTGTGTATATATTTTTAAACTCTTATATGAGTCATTATATATTCATTCAATTGAAACATTATTTTAATGTAATCGATCTATTAACTCGACGGATTTTAGTAAATTCCATAATATTTAATCAAAGATCCTAAAATTATGTTCTTGACATAATCGTACGTGTAATAAATTTAATGATAAAAACAGGCACCATTATGAAAAGTCTTTTATTCTATTTATAAAAAGGCAATCGAAATAAATAAACTATGACTAATAAATAGCACTTTTATATAGCTTTTAGACAATCTTCAAAAAAGTGATTTCGAATGAATCAATACTAATTTTAGAAAAAAAAAACATCATTAGCCACAATTAAAAATTTGAATCGTGTGTATGACGATGTAAATCAAAAATGCCATGGTTTCCTTTTTTCAATTCAAAGGTATATTAAAAAATTTTCAATCATAACATTTTACTTAATCAATTGGATTATATTGATATTATGTTTGACTTTTATCGTTAATTTATGCATACACATATGCATAGAGTCTAGCAATAGACTGGAGGCTGACAAAGAGTTGGTAACTACTAGATATACTTTAAATACTGCGGAATAAACAGTATCCCACTGCTAGGTAGTGATCTCTTCTAGACGCCACTTATATACTAGGAAAATCTTTGGTACTACGTCAATCCTACTGTGATTTCATTGACGTAACACCTGCAGATCGTCTGGCCTTACGAATTGAACATCCCGCCCAATACTACCTGAAGGCATAACAGGTCCGCTCGCCTTTATCTGAAAACAGTCACACCTTCAACTTTAGTTTCAATGTGAATTTCAGTATTGTTTATTCTATATATGTATATGGTTATCTGGAAGAAATTGCTACATATCAGCAATAAGACCGCCCATTGCATACTTCTTTTGTATACATATTGTTACCACAACGTGACAATAAAAATTGCCGATAGAATTACCAAAATTAACTCTTTAATTCACTACACTAATTAAAACTTAGAAGACACTAATAATTAATCACACTGATTCACTTTATTTCGCTCCGAAGCTTCGCTTGTCTCGCCAAATTCAATACTTCCCCGCTCGCATCGTGCTGCGCATTTAAATACACATTATCACCGAAACATCCAGAATATTCAAGTAAATACGCGCGCCAATCGACTAGGCGCGGAAAGTTCGAGTGTCGGGCTTCTAGAAGCTTAGTTCTTCGTTTCGATACTAGATGGCGCTGTCGGTTGAAAGATTAGTGATGTAATTTTCTGGAAAGCTCCCCTTGCTCTCGTCCCCGACACTAGATGGCGCTAGTGCCGGGTACATGACGTCAACTTAGGCGCGCAAAACTGCCCCCTCCTAAGACATGCTCGTCCCGAGCATTATCGGCCCCATAATAACGTGCCAAGCGATCCACATGGACGATCTTAGGAGTCCCTCTTGCACCTTTCTGTATCCGGTAGGTTACATCGTTGATCCAGGTTACAATCCGGTACGGGCCGTCCCATTTAGCTTGAAGCTTAGGAGATTTCCCTTTGCCTGGATTGTGCAACCACACTAGTGAACCTTCGTCGAACCCTTTGTTGTTCATTTTGCGGTCATACCGGGTTTTCATCTTTTCAGACATTTGCTGGCCCGATTGTCTGACATGCTCATAAATGTCATTCATTTTATTCCGCAAGTCATTTGCATAATCGGTTATACTGCGTGGGGCATCGGGTGGTATCCCGGTGATCAGGTCTGCAGGCAGCCGTAATTCTCTTCCAAAGTTTGCGAAAGCTGGTGTGACTGCTGTACTTTCGTGAACAGCGCTTCGATATGACAACAAAAACGGTTGTATGTGCTCGTCCCAATCTCGTTGCCGATTGTCTACAACTTTTGCTAGGTACCTCTCCAATGTCTGATTAAATCGTTCTACCATTCCATCAGATTGCGGGTGATAAGAAGTCGTTCTTGTTTTATGAGTACCCATAACTCCTGGAAAATTTGAGACTCAAAATTCCTTCCTTGATCGCTGTGAATCTCTAAAGGTAATCCAAAACGACAGAAGACTTCATGAACTAGTTTATCTGCAACTGTTGAAGCTTCTTTATTTACATGCACAACCCAAACGGCATTACTTTAAATTGCCGCAGACCCTTTCCCGTCGAGAACGCAGTTTTCTCCTTGTCCTTAGGGTCAATTTTAACTTGCCAGTAGCCACTTTTTAGATCCAGCGTGCTAAACCACTTTACTCCTGTAAGCATGTCCAGCGTGTCATCAATTCTTGGAAAGGGATAGCTGTCCTTCTTCGTAACGTCGTTCAGACGGCGGTAGTCAACACAAAACCGCATGCTGCCATCCTTCTTCTTTACCAGAACCACGGGTGAACACCATGGACTAGAGGAAGGTTCAATAACACCATCCTTCACCATTCCTTCAATCATGGTTTCTACTTCCTTTTCACGTGCTACCGGCAATCTTTTTGGCCGCTGACGGATAGGCAATTCTTCTCCTGTGTTTATTTTGTGTTGAACTAAGCCAGTCTTTCCTACGTCAGCATTGTTTGATGAGAATACATCGGCGTACTTGAGTAACAACTTCTTTGCCTTGACCATTTCGTTCGGGGAGAGAACGCTGCGACAGTCTTCCAAAAGTGGGGTCACTCTCGTTTGTGCATCCTTGCTAGGGGTCTCACTCGATAGATATTGGCACCGACGTAACCAATCCACTTCCTCACAAGTACCAACCAGCGTTCCTTTTTCTATAATCTGTTCCCGGTCACAAAGGTTCAGCACACGTACTCCTGAGATGTCAGTGGTTCTGACCAAGGTTCGAGCTACTTTCAATGGAAGGTCATTGTTTACCCTTTCCACAATTACACAACGGTGAGCTTGCCCAGCGTTTCGAGGAAGACTAACCGGCACAATCGTTTCCGATCTCGGCGGAAGAACAATCTTCTTAATGCTGTACACGTTCCCTGGTAACGCACCTTCCGTAAAAAGTTCCTCCTGTCCGCATTTCAAAACACCATGCTTAACGGCGATCTCACAATAATTATCCCTCATAAAGTCTAGGCCCAGGATGCAGTCGTCCATTATATCAGCCACGATGACATTATGCAGGTAGATCACGTTGCCTAGCTTCAACTCCATCTCCTTCTCTCCACGGATGGGTATACGCTGACCGGTGGCTGTTACCAAATTAATGCGTTCTCGGTTGTATGCGGAGTCCCCAAGGAACTGACTTATAAGTTGGGAACTAACAACCGTACGAGAGGCTCCAGTGTCTATGGTCAGTTTACACGGCATTCCGTTGACCTCGCCCTTGATGATTAGACTGTTTTCATCATGGGTTTGTGAGATCGAGATTCTAGGGGCTCTTTTAATATCAGTCAGCACCCGCCCCGCAGTTCTGGCTTTTACTCGTAAAATCGGCATGTCGGGCTTCTAGAAGCTTAGTTCTTCGTTTCGATACTGTCGATTGAAAGGTTAGTGATGTCATTTTCTGGAAAGCTCCCCTCGCTCTCGTCCCCGACACTAGATGGCTCTAGTGCCAGGTACATGACGTCAATTTAGGCTCGCAACAATATATAATCTATAATTTTTGTATGGTGTGATAATGAATATTAAATAAAATTAATTAATAAATTACCTACTTATTACCAACATATTATATATTACAATAGGTATATAAACATTTACTAATGTATTATTATTGGGTCTATACTCAGCAAATCTCCAACGTGGTAAGCATGGGCACAAATCTTTCCAGCTATATGTGCCAGTGGCTGCATTTTTAAAAATAACTATTTCCGGCAGAGCGTTCAAAAGTTTGTCGTTGAATGTTAAGTGTGTGGTAATTATATAGGATGAATTAAATACGTATATTTGTATGATTTTTCTTTATAATAGAATAGAATATTCGCTGTTTGTGTCACTGTTGCATACAGCGTGGTATGCGCGCGCGCAGCAGCCAGGTCGGCTCGTAAACCGCGGACCACACGCGGGCGGAGGTGTGAAGGCAGCGCCCGCGCCCCGGGGGCCCGTCGCATAACTCACGAGCAGCGGGGCGCCGGCCATTCATATCTACCTGCACGATTTGGCTGCCGATGCCGCGACATATCGATACATCGACGGACCTAGACACTCTGTCTGCCTCATAATACTCCGAAACAACGGAAATTTGACTCATTTGAACGCGTTTTGATTCAAATATTCCGATCGAATACATTTTATTGGGGAAAGTAAATGTAGTTATAATATTTTATGACGTTGAAACCAAAGTAATGTATACGTTTGACGAGTATCAGGTCTCAAAATTGTCAATGTGACGCTCATAATTTTAGAAAATTTCGTGTATATGACAATGTACTTAAACGAACATTTTATATACACACATAGCATTAGGTGCCTAAAGTTCAGTACGATTGCAGTGCGAGAAATTAATGACCACCTATTACAAGTATTTTCTTAAAAGTTATTTTAAGAAAATGGGCGTAAGTTATGCCTATAGGTACTTGTTTTGTTATATAAAATGAAAGTGACAATCGAAGCTACAATCTACCTGATTGTAAGAGGCTATTACAGCTCATAGACACCAGCAGCTAGCTTCAAACGAAGAAGGCTACAGATGCGTTATCACCTGTAAAGACTTAGAGTTAGCCTGTAATTAAACTGACTTTATATGGCAGCAGAAATAGCTAAAGGGTGGTCCCTCCTCAGATGATGGAGTGTAGAGATAAGGAGAACAAACTCTTTATAAGAAAGTGTTGGTAGAAAAGCGCTAAATAGGGGTGGCGCCACTGTAGATCAAATAAAGAACTTTTTATAATTTTTTATTGCACAGACTTTCACCATAATTCTTTTATAATAATTATTTTATTGTTTTCAAAATTTTTATTTTCAAAATCACTCTCAAGGTATTTTACGGCGATTTATCATACACTGTAGCTACTCGAGCGCTGTTTTGGAGAGTTTTTGAACTGTTATTTACTGCTTACAGATGGACACATTTTCAACTATTCTCCAATGTGAGATTGTCCTCCTTACCTCCTCTATACTCCATGACTCAGATGTTCTAAACGTATGTGTTTTATTACTTAGCAAAAAGCAGAGCCCGAATAATTGGCACTAAAATGTAGGCAATAAAAAAGATAGACCGTATGTAGATTTACGACATAATGCAAAATAAACATGAATAAAATTAAAATATGATAAATGTACCCGGAATAAATTTTCCTAAGTATTCGTTCTATTCAATTCGAACGCTAATTTCAATAATCAGCATTGAATAAACTCAACCAAACATAATAATTCACGAGGGCTAGGAGCTTCCAGTTTAATGACACGTTTCTAGCGCGACCACGCGTAAGACATCCCACAATTTACCTGTTACAAATTAGATGCAACCCGTTATTGAAGTATCGGTAGCGGGCTAGCGTGCGTCGTTATTGTAATTTGATTTCTTTCAATTACTGTCGGACCGCGCGCCATTTTGCCACTAATAGTACCTCGTGGCTCATCGCTCAAAACGCGAGTAATTTGACTTAAACTCGAAAAAAGATAACTCGAGCCGACTTTACACAAGTTTACCCGATTTAACGTGAGCTTCGTGCAATTAAAAACACACACATTTTTTAAAAATATGATTTTAAATATGAGATGATGTGAGATCTCGAACACTAGGTAGGTACTTGTGAAAATTGTAGTGTGTTACGGTGTTACGGGGAATTACTTTTGGACAGGAGACGGTTAATTTTCGATGTGAATATGAGTTGGCGTTATAAAGCAAACTTGAGTTTAATTATGAATGTTGATTGTTGCTTGAACGGCTATAATTATAAGAACAATGGCGTCTGATTGAAAGTTTAAATACTCCAAGTGCAAAAAAATTTTCGCGTAGGTTTAGTTTGTTTAAGAAAACAGTGACTGATCTAGGATTGAAATGAATCTCTGATAAAATTATTAGAACAATAATATTATTTTAATTTTTGCCTCAATGTAATATAATTTTTGTCATAAAGTGAGCTGTGGTGGCCCTGGGGTTAAGCGCTCGCTGTAAAGTTTACAGTACCTATGCGAGCAACTCGGGTTCAATCCCCGCCGGCATAGTTGAAATTGTTTATTGTAATTTTAGGTACAGATTTAACATGTGTTCTTTGAGGAATTAAAACATCGCTAGTAAACCTGAATGTCTAAAAAAATAAAAAATAAAGTTTTCGACGACATGTGAATAGCTCAAACATGCAAAACAATGTCCAATATCTGGCAACGTGGCGGACATTTTTTTGTTTTGAATCCCTCTCATTAAATGAGAGGATTCCTGGGTCCAGCAATGGGACGCATATAGGCTGTAACAGGCATAAAAGGCATGTAACATAAATTAAAAACGAATGTTACGTGCCTATTATTTATACCTATTACAAAAGTAAATGAAGTAAATGAAGTTTGAAAAAATAAACAACAGATAAAATAATATAGCAGCTTATAACTATTGGGAGCTTATTATCGTAAAAATGTGTTGGAATCAATAATAATAATTTTCGAATTAAAATTTCAGATCAACAAATAAATATGCATAGTGTTGCGTACATTCAAGTGGCGCCGAAAGCATAAGCGATGTTTTTAGAGGCTTTGCAGCTCTTCTTTTTGCCCATACATGAAAACTTAACGAAAAAAAATCATTTGAGGACTGCTTACTAATAGTGTTCCCTTTTTAATGGTTTATGACCATGAGATTTAGTATTTTAATAGTTTAAATGGGTGCCATTACTTAATTGATACTAACCAACACCTAAATAATTTTAAGAGTAATACCTAGTAATAGTCATTAATGATGGAAACTATAATCCCGCTATATCATAAACCGGAAGTGACATCGCGTTGCTAAGCTAGATAGCGTGCGCAGGCCGTGCTCCCCTCGTGCGTGGGAGCAGCTTCCGTTTCCGATCTGCCGCACTTGTTAGCCAACCTGCCGTTCAATTAAATAATGCCCGGTACCATGATATTTTTATATTAGCTACTACCTATTATATATAGCTATACTATATAGCTATACCTATTATATTACCTTACTACCGCCTTCTTGTTTGTATTTTAAAGGTTCTTATAAATGTACATGAAGTTAAATATTTTGAATATTTTCTAATAACAAATCACGTATGAAATGAATAAGTGTTTTAAACATATGAAACATGATATTTGTATAAAATAAACCGTGATAGCTTAGGGGTTTCACTTGTTGTGAATTTTAAAGAACGTTAACTAACAGCCCGAATTCGATCCCCGCTAGCAATAGTGAATTTTTTATTTATATTTTTAAGTGCAGATTAACCACATGCCCGGTGAAGGATAACCTCGTGGGGAATCCAGCATGTCTGAGCAATAAAATATATCCAGAACTCTTGAAATCTGCCAATACGCAATGGAGCAGCGCGGCTGATTAATTGTTCCATAGCCCTTTTTTAGTTTGTATATAGGCTGCAACTTTGCTTTCAGGATATCCATTTTAATTCTTTCATCATTTCGTTACATTTTCTTCTTCTCCTTAGGGTTTCGCTGGAATGAAAAATAAAAATAATATCGTTTTATTAACATTATTCGGTGTAACAGCTTCATAACTTCTAGAGTCTTACGTCTAGAGTTTTAGGTTAGGAAGCGTCCGCCGCACTGTTGCGCAAATGCATTTTGCCGGACTTCATATGTCTGGAAATATTTTATTCAGTTCCTCAGAGATGCAGGTTACTTGACAGTTTAAAATGTTTCTATGGCGTACAAACAATTATGTAATACAATTACAAGTAATAATTTATAGCCTTTTAATAATTATCTAATGTAATATATTTTTTTTAATAGAATAAGGGCGATAGACGAGCACACCTGATTGTAGGCGGATACTGTGGCTCTTAAATCTTCGTTCATCTTCGATTAGTAAAAAGTAAAGTTACAGCCTATATACGTCTCACTGCTGGGCACAGCCCTCCCCTCATTTCTGAGCGGGTTTTAGGGCAAGGAAGTGTCCGCCGCGTTGCCCCAATGCGTGTTGGCGAACTTCACATGTCTTTGAAATATTTTTTTTCTTATTCCTCAGACCTGCAGGTTTCCTCACGATGTTTTCCTTCACCGCCGAGCACGTGGTAAATCAGCACTCAAAATTGCAATTAACAATTTAATTGGTGCCGGCGGGGATCGAACCCGGGTTACTCGCGTTCTGTTATATTTACAGCGAGCGTTAATCATTTGAGCTACTACGGCTCTTCTTCGATTAGTAATTAAATTTTACTTGTGAAACTCTGTAAGATAAGTGTAAAGGATGAAAGGTGATAAACGAGTGGTATTCAAAATGCAGATGCGTTGTCAACTCTAAGGCCTAAGATGGAAGTCTTTTTACCAGTAAATGGGGTCTCCTGATCTCATTTCAAAACAATAACTTTCTAATGTTATAAATTTTTGCAAACAGGATTGAATTTGTTAACAATGAGAGTTTCGGAATACTGGGTATGTTTTGGAGTCATGGGCCGATGGTCACGATCTCGCGCGGTGCGATGAACCCGTGAAATTGCTCCGGATATGTGACAAGCACGAAAAATATTTATTCCATGGGCTGATAGGTGCGGTGGTGGTCGTAATTATTGGCCGATACGATTTTATAAAAATTGTGGTCGACTCTTGATCGGAAGCCTTGAATTACTGTTTATATTAAGATTTTAGTAAACTTCAATTAACATTCATTGAGTTTAATTTTTTTATATACATTTAAGAACATATTAAACTGTCTTTTTTGTTTTGTTTTTGATTAAAAACACGTTACCACGAATCTAGGAGTTTCTCCTGTATTGTGGAAAAATTGCACATGGACAAACACCTCGAACTGGAAAATAATTAAATAGGACAAACAAATATTGTGCTCTGTTGAAGAATCGAAACCAAGTCTCGCAGCACCGCTGCCAAATGCCTCCATCCAAAACAACGTAAAACAATTTTTACGTAATATTAGATTTTATCTTACACACAATTGTATCCCCTATGGGGTGGCAGATAGTAAATATATATAGGCTGGCTGGAAAAGTTGAAATATCTATCAGATAAAAAAAAAAATAAGAAATTATCTTTTCTTTAAAACAAATTCGTGGTTTGTTGTAGCGTTTTGGTAAATAGTTGTGTCGTCGCTAGAGAATATAGTGGTTATATAGTCTTTGTGTCGTCGGTATGTTTTAATGCTTAAAACATCGA